CGGCCTACCGCCGCACTCCCCGACCCACCCACCCGCCTGCAGCACAAGTCGGGGACCCTGGAACCCCATTCGACGCTAGGCGGGCCACCTGGCCCGAGTAGACCTGGGGCCCAGAACCACCGCCCCAGGCCCACCTGCCGAAGGGGCGCGCGGTGGCGCGAATCCAGGAGCCGCTTCCGCCCTACGAGCGCAGTACAATGGCCTGGGGCGGACAAGGCCCTAGCAAGCTACTCGCTGCAACCGCCACCGCCCGATCCAGGCGCTTGTACCCTCACTGGGCAGGAGTGGCCTGGTCGCAAGCGGCGACGAGGAGGCAGCCCACGGAACCCATGACCCAGCCCTTCCATTCGCGGCGGAGCCCACAAGGTCTGCGACTACCATCTCTCCCCCCCAAGGACTATAACTCAGGGTGGCGAGCGGGCGGCTACCCGCCTGTTTTCCTGGGGAACCCAGTGGCAAAGGTGCCGAGGACGAAAAGAGGAGGAGTTGGAGACGAGCGTAAAGACATAATCCGATCCACAAAGAAGAAGAAGAAGAAGTCTAGGCGACAGCCACAGGAACGGCGCGGCACCAGGGAGAACAAACGCGACGAAGAGGTCACTGTACAGGACGGCGACGAGCGGGAAGAAGCGGGCGAGGAGGCAGCGCAGTACGCCAGACACCAGAGACCACCCAAAAGCAGCACCTCGACAAGTGTCTAGTCCTGCTGCGGTCATCGCCATCGTGCCAGACCTCGTCAACGTCGCCAGGGTCACCACTGCCTCCGCCATGCGCGAATGCTTCGTCACTCCCGTCAGCCGAGGGCCCGTCACCCGAATCATCCGACTGCGGCGCTGAACGACGGACCTCGCGGGGGCGACCATAAGCAACAGGAGTCGGCAGCGCCTCCACAGCGCCTGCTGGATCCGCGCGATCAAGGCTCCCGAGTCGAGCAGCGCCATGAAGGACGCGCCAACCCCACGGGCGATGAATTCGGTGGTTGGGGCCACCACGACCTTCATCGTCCCCACCGCCGCAGCAATCTGCGCATGCAGTAGCAGCTCGACCACAAGAAACCTTCCACAAGAAACCCAACCCTGAGGCCCCAGGACATCCGTTGATTGTTGGTCTGGGAACGTGACGCTTTCCATCGCAAAACCATCGAAATCCAAGAAACCCATGGCACCCTGGAGGCAAGCAGGGTGTTTCTTGGCAGGGTTTTCCACTGTAGCGTTCCTGCACATGCTGCTCGAGCTCTGGATTGGGGGACCGACCGGGGCAGGGCGCCAACATGAGAGCGCAAGTCGGCAGCCTGAGGCTCACAAGCCAGTGCTGGCTCTGCGCACCGCTGGGCTTCTGCGAGCCGTCCCGCGTGCAAGTCGACCGTCGCATGGAAATCTGCCACCGTGCCTCGAGGCGCGAAGTGGAGTTTTCTCCAGGTCCTCATGTGTTCTCTGTCCTCTGTGCCCAGCTTGGTGGTATGATAACATTCTAGGGGCTGGGACCCCAGGTTCCCAAATTTCGTGGGCGTTCCCGCGCGCTCTGGGGCTGCTCCGCATGACTTTTCCAAATGCCACAGGGCCCCAAGACGGGCCAAGAGGGCCCCAAGAAGCGCCCAGGAGGCCTCAAGACAGCTCAAGAGCAATCCTAGATGCCCAAGATGGCCCCAAATAAGCCCGAAGATCGCTCCAAGAGGACCCCCAAAAAGGCCCAAAGAAGCAACAGCTTGTGATGTGTATTATGTTTTCTATGTTTTTCACGTTCTCGCGTTTTCGGGCTCCCGACGCTCCAAGATGGCCCCAGGCGCTCACCAAACGGCCGCAAGACGGCCCAAGAGGCCCACAAGAGGGGCCCAAGACAGCCCAAGAGAGCCCCAAAACGGCCCCAGATGCGCCAAAAACGGCCCAAGAGAGACCCAAGACGGCCCCAAGAGAGGGAGCAAGACGGCCCCAAGAGAGCGAATCAACGAGGCGGCAACAATCAGCACACAGCTTCTTCATTGATGGATCAATCCAGCCCTCCAGTGTCGCAGGTGACGGTTGGATAACGTTCGGCACGGCATCCTTGAGAAAAGAACGAGAGGCAACAACAGCGTCCTCAATGCGAGAGCGAGCGCGGGTCTCTGAGGCTGCTGCGCGCTGCTGGTGTACCCCCACGCTCACAGAGTCTAAGCCAACCAGCTCCTCGAATGTTTCGAAGCTCGGGACTTTGGGGGTCCATTCATGGATCTGCTCGATGTGGTGCTGTTGGGAACCTCGCAGGTCCCCCCCCGTGCGGAGTCCACGCAGGCATCCACGCGCGCCAGCTCCGTTGAAACAACATCCATGTAGTCGACCTGGAACTCGCAGAGCGCTTGCAGCGCGCGCGTAAGTTCCCCGTGCGCGACGAAGGGCTCAACAGCACAAGTGGACTGGGCCGACGGGCTCACGACCATAACCACCAATGGATCCTCTACTAACGCGAGCTGGCTTCATTCATTTTTCCAGTCAACGCAACGCATTAGCCGGATGCCGTCATGCGCAGCACTGCTAGACTCGTAAGGGGCGTGGGACACGTTGACCATGAGAGCATCAAGGTAAACAAACCCAGACAACATGCCCACATTAGCATACGCAACGCAGGCCCTACAAGGGAATCCGCATGCGACGCTCACGGTGAATGGCGGCAAAATGAGTGTGCGGGCCTTGGCTAGGAGCTCACCGAGAGGAACGTACTCTTCGGCAAGAGGGCTAAGACATCAAAGTTTGCGCCCGCGGCAAGCAAGCACATGTGGCGCCGCCTCCATCCTTGGAGGTACCACCACCAGCCACATCACTAGAGGTGTCGGCGGGTCCTTGGAAGACTGCGTGTCGCTCCTTAGCCTCCTCCTGTTCCTCCTCATTCTGCTGTATTGTGCTCCTCGTTTTTCTTCCGTAACAATTTGGGCTCAAGGGCCGAAAGGGGGTCATTTGGTTATGTTTTTTCTGTTCCTTTTCGTGCGCGTTGGCGCCTCTCTTCTCTGTCAGGTAGCCAGGTGGCTTGCAGTGGCGCTCTCTTATGCGATCCAATCGAGTGAAAGCGTTCTGACTGCGCGCATTCGTATTTTGAAACTTGCACTTGCTGCAGTCCTGATCCTGGCCTGCAACAGTCTGAACTTCGTCGCCAGCTTACTTTTGCGAAGTGCGTCAGCACAATGTTCATCACCCGTCTCACGCTGCGACGCCGTCAGCACAATGTTCATCACCCGTCTCACGCTGCAACTCTTGCTCGCCCGGTTCTTGGAGACCGAGTCCATGGTCACAGTTACCCGCTTTTGCGACGTGTGAGGAAACGGAGGAGGAGGAGAAGAAGGAGGAGAAAGATCTAAGAGGAGGGAGGAGAAGGAGGATAAGGATCGAGGATGATGAGGAGGAGGACGAGGCGGAAGAGGACAATCGAGGAGGATGAGGGGATCGGGGAGGAGGAGGAGGAGGACCAGTGTAAACCCCAGAGTCATCAACGATGTTGGAATAAACCCTCCCTCCAAGCTCCTTGCTAATAGGCCACTACAAGGCTTCATTTCCATCGAGGGAACCACCTCTTTGGAAGACAATCGCTTATGACCCTGAAGCATGCCAAAACATTATTCTCGGGATTCCAACGCCACGGATAAACCTGACTGTTGCGTCTTCACGATCCTGAGTCGTGCCAGAACGCCATTCATGGGATTTCAACACCGCGAAACGTAGCTGTTGCACCCTTATAATCCTGAATCTTTCCAAACGACCATTTGACCATGGAAATCAGCGAAACTCTTGCACCTTTACAAAAATGCGCGCGGCGCTTATGCAAGAATCACATTTTGAAAAGGAGCCGCCCTCAGTCCGTGAAGCTTTTGCAAGCGTTTAAAACGAATGTGCGCGGCGCTACAGCGAGAGCCATATATTGAAAACCACCCGCCCTCTATCCGTGAAACTCTTGCAATGTTTTACAAACAAAATGCGCGCGTCGCTGAAGCGAGAGCCACATGTTGAAAACCACCCGCCCTCAATCCGCGAAACTTTTGCAATGTTTACAAGCGAAATGCGCGCGACGCTGAAGCGAGAGCCACATGTTGAAAAACACCCGCCCTCAATCCGTGAACCTGAAACTTTTGCAAATTCTGAAAACGATTGCGCGCGACGCTGAGGCGAGAGCCACACTTTAAAAACCACCCGCCCTCAATCCGCGAAAATCTTGCAAAGTTTAAAGACGAATGTGCGCCGCGCTAAGGCGAGAACCACATTTTGAAAAGGAACCGCCCTCGATTCGTGAAGCTCCTGCAATTTGTTACATCGAATGCGTGCGGCGCTAAGGCGAGAGCCACATTTTGAAAACCACCCGCCCTCCATCTGTGAAACTGTTGCCACTGTTTAAGTTTCAGGGTCACAAGTGGTGGGGAAGTCTCAGGCGAAACGCCTGGCCTGCCGTAAAAACTGGCCTCGGGTGCGACAGGGAGACATCATTTTAAGGGAAAGGAATGGAGGAACAGGGGGCGGAAGGAGGACCGAGGAGGAGGAGCAGCAGCAGCAGCAAAAACACTGGTCACGCAGATGTGGGGGGGGAAGAAGGCAGGACGAGGAGTGCGGGGCAAGAGGGGCAGCATGAGGAGGACGTGGGGGACCTTTCGAGCCAGCACTCGGTCCAAAAATGAGACCAGGCAGATCTCAAGACATACGGCGGCCATTGAAGGAGAGGGGGGGGGGCGCAGGGAGAAGGCGGGGGGGGAGGACGCGAAACACAATCCACACTCCCACAGCAGTGCACTTGCGGGACCGACTCCCCCCGCCGAACCTCTGCACCTCAAGAAGCCGTTTCGTCCCCTCCAGGCGGAGGGGGGAAACGGACCGTAGTTCGACACCTCCTCTTCCACCTCCGATGACCACGACGAGGACGAGGACGAGGACGACGACGTTGAAAACGACAACGACGACGGCAACGACGACGACGACGACGACGACGATGACCACGACGACGGCGTCGGCGGCGGCGGCGGCGACGGCGGCGGCAGCGTCCCCGGGCGCCGTCGCACGCCGCGCCAGGGGCGAAGAGGCTCGGGTAATGCAGGCGACCGGGGCGCGCGACGCGACCGGCCGCCGTCTGGCGCGCGGTGGGGGTCGTCGTCGTCGTCGTCGTCGTCGTCGTCGTCGTCGTCGTCGTCGTCGTCGGCGCCGTCGCCGTCGTCGTCGTCGTCGTTGTCGCCGTCGTCGTCGTCGTCGTTGTCGTCGTCGCCGTCGCCTGTCGCCGTCGCCGTCGCCGTTGCCATCGCAGTCGCCATCGCCGTGGCCGTCGCCATCGCTGTCGTCATCGTCGCTGTCAAATTTTCGGAACATGTTCTCTGCCATCCTTCTTCCTCAGAAGTAACTCCTCCCAGTCGCACCACGAGAACGTGGGAGGGCGGGCACATGTCCAATGGGCTTCTCGCCTGGGACTTCATCACAAAACTCGCCGTATCAAGTTGCGCAACAGCTTCACGGAATGAGGGGGGTCCTTTTTCGAACTAGCCCTCTCGCCTGAAAATTCTTCAGCATTAGTGACCAGAAGTTTCAAATAGTGCAAAATCAAATCGCATAATAAGGACGCGCGGTAAGGATGCAAAGGGCCTCGGAATGCTATGTTGACGTTTTTCGAACGGGATTGACCAGCGAAAGTCGCCAAGGATGGGCCGAAGGGGCAAGGATACAGGGATAGCCTTGGGAAGTTGCTCATCCTTGTTATGCGCCCTAAGTGTAATGGTTAGACGGGTGGAGGACGGCTCCGTCTCAAAGCGGGGCTGCTGGCGGATATTTCCTGCTACGGGCTCATGGGGGCTTCGAGCGACGGGAGGGATTATTGCAGCACCTTTCAGCGCCTTTGATAGATGTTGGCTTTACTTTGGTGCTCCTCCTCCTCCTCCTCCTCCTCCTCCGCCTTCTCCTCCTCCTCCGCGTTCTCCTGCTGTGCTCCCCCTTTCCTCCTCCTTCCCTCCTCCCCCTCCCCGAGCGTGGGCTCCCGCGCGCGCGGTGGTCGTCGTCGTGGTCGTGGTCGTGGTCGTGGTCGCGGTCGTGGTCGTCGTGGTCGTCGTGGTCGTGGTCGTGGTCGTGGTCGTGGTCGTGGTCGTGGTCGTGGTCGTCGTCGTCGTCGTCGTCGTCGTCGTCGTCGTCGTCGTAGACGTGGCCGTCGTCGTCGTCGTCGTCGGCGTCGTCGTCGTCGCCCTGGAACCGGCGTTACATCGCCGATTGATCGCCGATGGGTCGCCGAGAGCCTATCCTCACGCTCCTGGGCGGGGTTGGCTACCAGGCCACCTTCGGCGATGCATGGGCGATCGGGGGCCGATGCGTTCCTGCCTGAGCCCATTCCCCCCTGACGTTGCCCTTGACCGCGGGCCCACACCAGGAGGCCACCCTGGCAAAGGGCCAACCCTTTCGAAAAACAGTAGTAGGATAAACATAAATTTTCGGAGGTGCGCGCTGATTTCTTGGATCGTCGCTGGGCCTCCCCTCCCCTGGCGCGCAGAGCGCGCCAGGGGCAGCGCCAGAGGCGCTGCCAGGGGGGTTCCAGCGCCGGTCCAAGACTCATGTTCATATTTGGTGTTGTTCCTGACCTGTGGGCGCGCACCAAGAGTCGGCGGCGAGCCCTGGGGATAAGCGAGGAGGGCATGCCTTCTCGGAAGGCGGCGGTGTTTCTCAGAAACCCTCGCGCCTTCAGAGAAGACTCTTACGCCTTTCCAAAAATAATCCGGGGACGATTCTTTGAGCATGTTTGAACAATGTGTGAATATGTTTCGATTCTGTTTCCCAACCATCCTGTGCTGTTGGGTCCTCGTTTTGAAGAGACGGTCCCCGCGTTTTCCTTCCTTCCTCCTCCCCCCCCTCCTCCCCCCCCCCGTCCCCCCCACACCCCTCACACGCTTCGTGGCCCCATCAAGAGCTTCACCGAAGGCTCCAGTGGGACCGCCCGCATGCGTCATCCACCACCCAGCACAACATTTCGTGGCCCCATCGAGAGCTCCACCGAAGGCTCCACTGGGACCGCCCGCATGCGTCATCCACCACCCAGCACAGCGCTTCGTGACCCCATAGGAAGCTCAACCGAAGGCCCCCGTGGGACCGCCCGCATGCGTCATCCACCACCCAGCACAGCGCTTCGTGGCCCCATAGGGAGCTCCACCGAAGGCCTCCGTGGGACCGCCCGCATGCGTCATCCACCACCCAGCACAACATTTTGTGGCTTCGTAGGGAGCTCCACCGAAGGCTCCAGTGGGACCGCCCGCATGCGTCATCCACCACCCAGCAAGGCACTTCGTGGCCCCATAGGAAGCTCCACCGAAGGCTCCAGTGGGACCGCCCGCATGCGTCACCCACCACCCAGTACAGCGCTTCGTTGCCCCAGAGGGCTCCACCGAAAGCTCCAGTGGGACCGCCCGCATGCGTCATCCACCGCCCAGCACAGCACTTCGTGGCCCCATAGGGAGCTCCACCGAAGGCCCCAGTGGGACCGCCCGCGTGCGTCATCCACCTCCCAGTGCAGCGTTTCGTGTCCCCA